GCCCCTTTTCGTTCTACTGCCCCCCTGAAAAATGAAATTGCCCCCTGGGGGGCATTATCGCCCACGTTAAGAACCACTGGACTAGATGATTAATGGGCTGATGAAGTATAAGGCAGCCTCCTGTATTAGTGTGCACCAGAGTGACATTATCTCGTAACTTTGAACTTGATTTGTGGGAAACTTGCACCAGCCTGCACCAAAAGGGCCAGTCAGGACATGCTTTATTTCAGTTTGCCACAGCAAAAATTACAGAAATAGAGGAGGGGGCACATTAGTGGCTAGCACCTGGCATAAACATCTGAGGATGGCAATCCAATCTGTGTTGGAAGATGTTGGCTGTAGTCCAGCCAGGTCAGCTTATGCCAAACAAAACTTGCCAGCTGGATAGCTCAGTGGTTTAACACAGTGGCTGCGGAACTAGAGGTTGGGAGTCCGATTCCCCACTGGGCCTCCTTGACAAGGGCTGGACTTGAGGATCCCCACAGGGTCCCTTCTGCAGTTCTCAGATAATAAAGTGCCCCTCAACCCATCATTCTAATTCAGAGATGGATCCTGGTATTCCAAGATGGCCCCCTTTTTCATGCTGCCTTCTTGGCACATTCTGTTCCTCCTTTCCTCCCAGTACATGTTTTGAACCAGCCAAGAAGGCAACACCCTTCTCCTGAAGTCTATGTTTTCTCCTGTGACTCAACAGGGAGAAAAACGAGCACTTTTCTTTCCACACACATCTTTCAAGCCTGAACGTTTTCTTTATATTCCACCGAGGGTGGACCTGTTTTAGCCAGGTCGCCCTCATCTTAAGCCGCTAGAAATTTTGCCCGGGAGAGAGAGAGAGAAAGCCTATAAACTTTTTTTAAAAGCGTCGGCGCTGGTTAGTTGTGGGAAAGTGCCTTCACTCGGCCTCCTTCTGCCCCCCCTTCCTCCCTCAGCCTGACTTTCCCCACTTTCCGACGGTGGGGAGACTTGCGCGGCGGGGGGGGGGCGGGTGAAAGGTGCCTTCCCAAACTTGAACCGCCACCTTTCCTCCTCCTCCTCCTCCTCCTCCTCCATCAAAGAGGTGGAGGACTGAGAGGCATTCTCATCCATCGGAGGTCCGGGCGGGGCGGGGTGGAGGGCAGGCAGCCTCTTAGGGGAGAAGCTACCGCCACCGCCTCCTCCGCCTCCTCCTCCTCTCCTCCTCCACAAGGGGACTCTTTCACTGCTCGAACAGGCGCGCTCTTCTCCAGGGCTGCGCCCCAAACGGCGGACCAACTCCAAGGGAGGGAAAAAAAAGTGAAGCCCCGCGGAAAGCGGCACCTTTGCCGAGCGGCTCGCCAGCTCCAAAGCGCGGCGGGATGCTGCGGCGCGGCGCCCACGTTTGGGCCGCCGCTCGGAGGGGCGCGGAGGGACTTCCTCGCCCCCTCCCTCTCGTTTTGTGCCTCTTGACAACGAGGTGGGCCGCTGCCTCTGGGTAGGAGGGCAGAGGAAAGGGTGGGGGACAGCTTGGGGGGGGCGGCGGCAGATGGGGAGGAATGGGAAAGGAAAGAAGGGGAAGAGTTGGGGGGCCGGGTACCCTCTTAATCCCTGCCCCACCCCCGGGAACAGGGTTGCACCTAGTGAGAAGGCCTCGCCGTGCATCGACGGGGAGGAGAAGAACCCGACAGAAATCTGCGGAATCCCAAATGAGCCCTCTTGACGATTACAGAATGGGTCGCCTTAATTGGGACGGGACCGTGCGGCAAAACTC